GTATTGAAGGCGGTCCTGCAGGACTCACAAAAAAGGCTTTCTGGGGGAAAAGAATATATATATTAAATCGTCTCCAAAAATAATGATGTCTGCTTTGAAATGCATTAATAATCCAGAGTGGAGGGGTTTGTTCCAGGATGTGGAATAACATTAAACTACCAGACTCATCAACGGGGCAGGAAAGTGGGGGGGAGAGGTGAACGAGATGTGCAAGGGAGGAGGATATGAGGCGATGCTCTGCTCGGCCAACCTGCGTCCCGATGGCCTGGACCGGAGCCAGAGCGCTGCCTTAATCACAGTTACATTTTTGATGAAATGGCTTATAGGGCAGTGATTAAACTTCAGATCTTTCCTGACGGTGCCCTACTTCTTCCAGAGAAATTTGATTGTCTCGGTCTCAGGAACAGTGGAGTGTGGGTGTGAGGAATGCTTAAACAGGATCTAGCCTTATACAATTTAATGAGACGCTTATTGCTTTGTCTCTCTGCCCCCCCCCCCCCCCCCCACCATCACCCTAATAGGAAATTCATAGGATAGCCAACAGATGAGAAGAACCAAGTGAAGTATCAGCTTTTCTTCAGGCACTTTCCTGTCGTGTGAAGTTCATCTTCCCCAGGAGCCCGAGACTGGATCACACGTCATTAGAAAAATGTCCTGCGTTGGAGTCTTCAGCAAGAGGAGTGAGAGATGTTTCCGCTTTCAGCGATATTCAGGTGTATTGACACAGGAGTAGTTGACACAAACCTTTTTCTCTCATGACATGACTGGAGATGGGGGGGTGGGGGTCAGTGAATGGCAAATGTGAGAGTCGGAAGGGGAAGGAATTTCACAACTTGCCAACCATGAGGCTCTGGACTCTGCAGTAGATTTTTCCCCCCCAGCAGCTGGCAAAGCCTATAGGTGCATTACGGTATATATCCAAAGCTTCACACCCCTGGTGTAGTAATGTTTTTGGTTTATATGCTGGTGCGTTGGCTTTACACAAGTAGCCGCTAAATGCGGTGGCTACATGCTAAAGCCCCATCTACATGCTAAAGTCCTACCATCTTAACGGCTCTGTTGCAGGGCACACGACACAATTCTCCCATGAATAATCCTCGCCGGATGAATGGCGGACCGAAAATGGCCGTAATGGATCCGCGCTTGAGAGTCGGGTGCGAATGGCTTTTTTAAACGGGGGAGTTGGCTGGGCGGTCGCGGGACGTGCATTAGATAGCGCCGTGCGATGGCGTCTGCTGAGCAGTCCTCCCAATTTTCGGGTAAATCCCCCAGATGATTGTTTCCTCAAGGGCACATGTGTGCCGCACATTCATTAATGGTCCACTAGAGGCTGCGCTTCATTATTTAATTCTTTCCTCTGTTTTTCACCCACTGCTGCCATTTGCAAAACCACATGCTATCTCGTCGGCTAAATTTAGGCGAGCCTCATAAAAGCAGGGTCTGCATTTCTGTCGCAAATAGCCTGTGTTTAAACCACGACGCATTATCCAAATTGCACCGGATTCATTTCTATTCCCAATCCTACGCTGACCCAACAAACAGCTCCCCCTCGCATCCACACACACGCCTGCCCACTCACACACACACAGTCAGCTTTGATGTGGGTTATCGGTAAGACCCGTCACCCCCCCATCCCCCCCCTCCCTCGGCATCAGCACCTTTTGATGTAGCGTATGTGCACTCCCAAATAGAATTTTTAATAAGGAGTCATTATCATTTTGATTTCCTGCTGAATGAAAAGAGTGACCTCTGGCATTTATCTGAAGCTGGGGGTGTGCAGGCAGATATGGCTTATTGACATTAAACCCACTGCTATAACCAAGGCTGAGCTGGGGGGGGGGGTGTAACCAAGTGAAAAATGTATCATGAGAAAAGGTCCTTGCTGATGAAAATCACTCCCATCCCACTCTAGTGCGAGCCTGTTTTATTTACCATCCTTCTCTCAATAGATCGCATAGCCAATGCAGAGCCTTCAAACCCGGTCACCCACCCCCCACCATTTCAGTCACAATCTTCTTGATTAGACCGACGTACATTTTTAAAGTTTGCCAGTCAGGTCAGGGCGCTTGCTTGACATTTTGCACATTTTATAAATCCTTGAAAGGCCGCAGTTACAGTCCACGGCTTCCTCAACGCTGATGGTGAATATGGTGGAACAAGAAGGAGAAATGGGACAGACCTGGCCAAGTGTCCGCGGCTGCTCAGCAGTTTGGAGCTCTTAGCTTCGACCTGGCCTCCTGCTGGCTCCTCCTCCACGGAGCTACAGTCACCGGGGAGACGTATCGTCCCTCACAAACAGCCTATTTTGCCACCTCAGATGGAGAAATTCATCAGCTCTGGAGGATCCCTTGTTTTTTATAATCATCATTGAGATGAAATGTTAGTAACGATTTAGCATGATTTAAAAAAACAAACTAGTCCTGAATATACATATAAAACAGAAAATCATTAGCAACTGCCATTTTTTTTTACTTGACATTATTAGTATGTATAGGTGGAATACTCAGGTGAATCCCATGCTGAAGAACACTTTCTAATGCTGCGTTAATTTTGATGCAAACTCATAACATTCCCCAAACATAACACGTATGCATTCCTACACACTTTTGACATATTGCATCTTGTTTCTTTAGCTTTGCTGTGAAGAAAAGGTCAAAACACCAAATAAGAGTCACACCATTAAAAAGTACAAGTAAAATGAGCAAACAGTTGTATAGGTGTCCACAGAGATGCCTGTGCTTTGGACAAAAAGGGGAGCTATGAAAGTAACAAGTGTACATGGATGCCGTGGTCTAACGCGAACAAACAAATAGGTTTAAAGCTAACCGCTGGCAAGCGGCAAGGAGAGGACTGTCTGGGGGGGGGATGCTTCTGTTTGTGTTCAAAGCGCGGGTGCAGAAGATGCCGGAAGGCCCTCTCCACTTAAACATGTCTGCTCGCTCTGCGTTGCTGGCAGGGTTAAGGAGAGCCCCCCGCAGAAACCCATGAGGCAGACGAGCTCAAAGCGGGGTTGCCCCCCCCACCCCCCGCCGTGGCAGTAAGCGAGGTGTCGCTGGGCCGTGAACGGCCGCGGGCTTCGCACGGTCCCGGATGCTCCGGCTCTTCCCAACATCCAAGTATTTTTTTTTTCCAAGACAGGAAGCTTCTTGGATGTAAGCTGCCTCAGACGTAGAGCTGTTTTTATGCAGAAAATGCCCATCTACAATACTAAAGCTTCCAATTAGTTTCCAGAAATGTAAGCTTTTTATCGCCATCTACCTTACTTACACCCAAGATAAAGCGTGTACGTTTGGTTGAAGGTTCTAAATTCTTCACGCTAGCCTTTGAAACTGGTTAACGCAACGTTGATAAGCCTAAAGAAAACTGATTATCTACTTATACGCAGCTGTAAGAACGGAATTTATCCATGCATCCATCTTCCAACGGCCCCGTTTTGGACGACGTCGCCGGAGAACCATATTTAAATTACCGTAATTCAGCGCTTCATATGAAAGCATTTCCAAATCTTGCTTTTTTATTGAAGGCATAGACGATATTAGTGAAAAGACACAAAAAAGGATTGCAATCTTTTATAGACCTGAGAATAGCCTTTTCACAATCGGTAAAGCGCAATTTATTTTATTGGCAATGATTATGAAAACGGTAGGCACAATTCTTTCCTATCTTGAGTTTGCTTTTGAAATTAATTTACTTTCTATTGTTGGTGCTTGTTGAAATATAAATTCTCATTTATATTTAAAGGATAAAATCAAAAATTCATCAAAAATTTAATTTATATTAAGGATACCAGTAACACACTCTGTTAAAATATCAATACGTTTTGTAAACACAAATCTCGTGCTTCATTCCCATAGCGGACGGTGTTGTGTTTATCACCGAGATGTGTCCATATTCAGATTAGCCTGCTTTAGTCTGGGAATCCGCGCCTTGGAAGAATATGGGCGCAGGTAACCGTGCTTTGTACTGTAAAGATCACCAAAGTGCCGCATATTCTATAGTTCGCTTCTGCTGATTCATTTTTACGATACAGGGACAGTTTGTAGTAATCGTATCTCTTTCCACATTGTACTTTACTCTGTGTTCCTTATATTATTTATTGAACATTATAAAATTACCTGCTGCCAGTGACCGAGTCACGTGGTTCTGTTGCCGTCCCGAATCTGGGACGCCCCTCCCCAGTCTAGATGTTTATGGGGTTGCATCAAATCGACGTGTAGACATCGAAATGCTGTTAATTCCGTTAAACAAAGCACCTCTAAGTATGTTTTCGTACCGGATTTCAATATATTGATCTATATTCCGATTCTTCCCGGGTTTCTGAATGCAGTGACCCTGTCAAGTAATTCGTCTGACACAATTATTAATATAAATATATTTCCAGTGTTAAGTAAATGTCTGCTTTTGACACCGAGTCAAATTGCATATGTTAAGTAGTCTGCATTGCAAATAGGACCATTTACAGCAGCTTCCAATAAAATCTTAATAATGAACATTCATTCTGCAACAGATCTATTCCTGCATCTATATTTCGAAATACTTCGCAGGTTAATGAACATTAACTGGTGGGTAAAAAAGGAGTATTGGGCTATCATTAAAGAATCCTTTGTTAGATAACTGACTTGTTTCAACCAATTTGCTGTGTTTAGATCTTGAAAATATTATTAGTGTCAATGTTGTGGTAGCATTACGGTTAATACAAATTTTGTCATTCTTGTATATATTTTAAACTAGTTAGCTAGTTTATTATAACAGCTAAATACGAAAGAAACAACGTGTACGATGACAACCTTCAAAAAACAACGCTGTTCTAGTTTAACAATAATATTTGCCGGAAAGTGAGTTGATGTCGCATGATTTCTTTCGGAGCCATGGGGAAAAGATGAGACCTTTGTTAGTTTAGTATAATACATACAGTATACGGCACTGAGAAGCAGCAACGTAATATTTATTTTCATTTCACTTCTTTTATAGTGTTATAAATCAAGCAGCACACCATCACAGAACAAATACAATGATGATATATCCTTTGACGGTCTTATTTTGTTTTTACGCCCACCCCGATGAGCTGGAAGGCGGTTCTACCCCTTATTTTTGTTTGCTTAAAGTATTTAGTATAGCAAGATACCTCCTATATTTCTCGCCACGTTATTCTGGATACTGGAATGCTAACGACACATTCAATACTCCCATTGCGGACGTATAGGCCCAGTAACCCCCGTGCCCCATATGATTTATTAACTATTGAACTATTCAGTTTTTAAATTAGAGATAGTCCGAGCTGATTTAAGACCAGGGACAAATTATACCACCAACAGAGACCGGACATCTATTTATAATACTAGCAGAACGAACTTATTTTATATTTACATTATTCTTGTTCTGTATCTGATTGCAAAAAAAAGTCACGTTTTCGCCATGAGAATAGCGGCCACAACGACGTGTCACACGCTGTGTATTTTCTTGAAAAACTGCAAGGTTTATATAGAGAAGACGTGGGCCTTACGTGACTGCCATTTAAAGACGCTGGCGGAAAGGCACGGGACAGGAGCGCGCGGCGGTGCGCGAGCGCCCTCACCCTCGCTGCGGGAGTCCCGCACTGAAGGCCCGCGGGAGCTCAGCGAAAGGGTATGGGTGCTTCACATGCGGGTCATGTGCGTGATCAGCTTATTGTCCATTATGCTTTACGTAGCATTTTAAAGGTAGTAATAACCTGGCTATACACGTTTTAGACTCTCTTCATTTTATTTATGAAGCCACGACGTGTTATTTAGTACGACAGAAATGTCATAAAAACCTCAGAAACCATCACCGATTCAAAGGCTGGCATGTTGCATAGATTTATTTCGATGAAATTGCAAAGAGTGAACATAACCAAATAATAATGGTACAACAAACAAACAAACACACTGAAACATTAATTGTATTTCCCTCTAGCCGTGTCCGGGTGAAATATGACTTGGAAAAATACTTTACTTTATGAAACGTCTAATTTAACAGTTCAGTTGTTGTACTATAGGATATTGTAAGATTATTTAATATTTTATTAGGTTTTTATACTATTTCATAAAATATTTTTGACTTCATTTCGCAGTGAGACACGGGAACTTTTTAAAATGGTACTTTTTATTATGGTGGCTTTTATCATATTTTATTTTTAAAAAGCCTTTCGCTTTCTCGCACACGGAGTTCTGGGGGTATTGTGCCTCGCGGCCGCTAATGTATTTCGCGCAGATCTGTCGGCAAAGCCCGTCATTTCCTGACACAGGCTCTCCGGCGTGCTTGACCCCTCTCTCTCTCTTAAATGGCCACCTGCGATTTCGATAGCCAATTTAGCGACACACATCTGATTAAAACGATCCCGGTGCTTTCCCGACGAGCCCGGGCTGAGCATAGCATACACCGCTGTGGACGATACAAATATACAGACTGTTTCTGAGAAAAATGCGTCCTCAGCCTCACATCTTGCTCTTGATATTGTACAACTGCTGGAAGCGAAGGAATGCAGGATAATATTGTTTTAACTGAATCAAATAATACTGGATTTTATAATAATGTTATATATTCTCAGTTACACAGCTGCTTCGCATATTCTACTTTTGCAGGCGTCCAACTGAATCGAACATAAAATAGATTTTCAACCCGCAAACATACAAAGGAGCACAAATAGAGTAAAGTACGATATGGAAATAGATGAGATTACTACAAGCTGTCCCTGTGTCGTAGAAATGAATCAGTAGATTGAACTGCATTCAAATCGATGAGCAAGATTTATATTGTTATTCAGAAGGGACCTGAAACAAGTAGCAGCCGATTTGCAGTACCCCATACTCTGATCGTCTAATCCATGATATGTTCAGCTTGTAACACGGGTAGCCTACGTGTCATTCAAGTTTGTGGCTGCTTCTTATACGATATTTATTTGAAACGTAATTATTAATGTTTCCGAGTCCATCTAAGAAACATATAAATATTCATATGCATGAATACACGATCACGTGATTCTGAGAAAGTTTCAACAGACGAATATCGGTGTTTTTGTATGAACAGTGCCATTTGCTTTATGCATTATTTTGCACATTAAGGT